AATAGATGCTTTTTACATGTTTTGTGGGAGTTTTCATAGTGTTGGCTTGCTTGTAATTATTGAGAAACATAAATCTCTCATAACATGGTTCAGCTGGCAGATTGGATGGGTGCTTTTTTTAAGTGCTTTCATGTGTCATGGCTCAAAGGCAGAGGAGCCTCTCCCATCCACACCCATTTCATCCCGTCTGCCAGAGTCATTAACAAGGGCCATCTCCTAAGCCCTCCCTTTATTAGCCTTTCATTGGAGTCGATCGTTTCAGTGCTGCTGCCAGTGTCAGATTTGCAGGTACTTGTTATTTTACGCTGTTCACTCACTTCTCGTTCATTGATTCTATAGAGAGGAGGAATGTGTAGTCTATGGAGGAGGAATGCACTCTGATTGAATTTATGCTATAGCAAGGAAATGACACTTTTGCCATTTATTGGTGCAATTAACCAGTAATATTAGACAGTTGGAAGGAAGTCCATGCATTTTGCATAGGTTTCCCCCCTGTAGCCCTCAATCGGGTCATGGGGTCTATACGCCCCCAATCGACTTTTTTTACTTAATTAAAAAAAAGGTTCCCTTCGTCTCAGTAAAATAAGATTTTGTGACCTTTAATGCATTATCTATCTATACACACACACACAAAAAAACCTGTGCTTGATTCGGTTGTTCTGAAGGTATGTAAAAAAAAAAATTACACTTCTGGTCAATATGACTCCACATTGAAATGAATGGGAAATGTGAAAAAACGAAATATATTTTCTTCATGTGTCAAAAAAAAAAAATAAATCTGGCATAAATCTGAATTTTTTTTACACAGAAATGAAGGCATAGTAATAGAGCATAAATGCAATGTATCATAAAAAAATAATATTTCATATGCAAGCTAATGGTGTAGTTGAGGAATTGTGTGGTATATGGATACAAAAGTACTTTATATCTCCAAAAACAAAGCATTAATGAATAGATGAGAAGTAAACAAAAAAAATGATATATTATTTGTATGATTAAAAATGTATATTTTTTTGTATAATTACTCAATCAATTGTTGGGGTCGTATAGACCCCGAAGCCCAGAAGAGTAAAGAGGAAAGAAAGTCCATTTAAAGGCTAGAAATAGCATCTGATAGCTATTTTCGAAAGCTTTTTTAGTCTTTTTTTTTTTTTTCAAGAACCATCTAGTGAAAATACAGTGTACAGTTTAAGGACCACTGCTTTAGTTGTTAGTGTGAGTTTATACTTGTGTTCCAAACCTAAAGCTGGCATATAGCCCCACATTATCATATGCATTACAATACTTGTGTTAAGCTCCCTCCCCTCCTCTTGCTAGTTTTGCAACAGAAAGCGAAAATCTCCTTGAACAAACACGCAAAGCTGCCTGATGACAGAAGGTTGCTGATGGGCAAATCAACAGCCCTGAGCGCCCATTGCTAATCACACTATTACTCATGTGTGTTTTTCCCTCTCCGTGTCGTTCCTGAATGACTGTTATCCGTTAGGAGTCCCAGGACATGCCAGGAAATGCCATGCCGATTAAAGTGCTCATCTAGTCAGCTCCTCGTGTGTACCACGCTCTCCTGATACCCTTCCATGTCTCTGCGAGCCACTCATGCGTTGGTCCGCATCTCATTTGGGAGATGCAGCGTTTTAGCAAGTGGCTCAGCGAGGGAGAGAGTAAAATATGAGTTCTCGTTCTAGCGTTAGCCTTTGCGTATCTGGGGAATCAGTGTAACCGGGAGTATTTTGCAGTGTCCCGGGTTTAATGAGCCTGCTATACGCACACACACACACTCAAGCCCCAGCCCGTCGCTATGATTCATAATGTGCCGTTATAAACACACGCTGGGATGACATGGCAGGTATGTGCTGTGAAAGTCAATAAGCCTTGATACACCAAGGCATCAGGTTGCCTTCTAAAAAGACATCCTCTGAAAAATGTACAAAAATGGGCTGTTTCTAAACGCAGCGAGTTATAGATCCAATCGGCCTGCCAAGTTTTTAATGAGCTATTGACATCTGTGATCTCAAACATCTGTTGGGCATTCACAGTTCATAACGGTGTGGCGCCAATAAAGTTGCCACTCCGCTGAGTCGGATATAACCGAACGCGTGTTAAGTAGGGGTTTCGCGCTCTCCCGTCTTTCTTTATTAAAACATTTATGTATCTGCTAGTTCATACAGCATTAAGCTTCCCAGACTCAGCACACATTATTTAATGCAAATGCAGTCTATAGTGGCTATCGATCAAATGCGCTGCTGCTTGTAAAGTGAGCTATATTGCTCTTCGTTAGACTGTATTTTCCATGCTTGACTGCTCTCTGAGTTTCCTGGGTCAGCTGTTTCCTTTCCCCTTTTTGCCTCAGGATATTAAGGATGACCAAGCGTGTCAAAATATTAAACATTTCAGCCCATGTCCTTTTAGAGAGATGCATGATTGTGTTTAAATCCCGCACAATTTAGCAGGTTCGCTCTGTTCTCTGGTATACGGGTGCAAATTCGTCATCTTCTGCGGGAGAAATCAACATGGCTCTGCACTTCTGGAAGATGTCCGGGAGAGAAATTTTCACCTAGCTGCGATTGCCTTGTGAATCAGTGTAGTTTGAGACAGGTAACAACTTACGGCTGACATCCCGTGATCCATTATGGTTTTTTATTGGCATGCCAAACATACAAATCTTTGAAAGCACCTTTTCCATCAGAAAGTGCAGTAAAGCAGTCACATCCGCTCCTGTCTCTTAAAGAGACGGACAGGGTGCAGTGGTGTAGGTTTTATGAAGAATAAATGTGCTTGCTTTTTGTTTAATCATGTTATAGTTCATTATTTATAGTTATCTTTTAGTAAATACAAATTACACTAGCTTTCAAACATTTGGGCTCAATACGATGTTTCTTTTCTTATTTTTATGATAATACTTTCAGCGAGGATGATCAAAAGTGACATTAAAGGCATTTACAATGTTACAAAATTTCTGTATTTCAAGTAAATGCTGTTCTTTTGATCTTTCTATTCATCAAAGAATCCCGGGGGGGGGGGGAAGCAACAAATCATCATATCAGAATGATTTATGAAGGATCATGTGACTGAAGACTGGAGTAACAGTTATTTTAAGGTTGTAATAGTATTAAATTTTTAAATGAATATATCGAATAAATATAGCCTTAGTTGTTTATAAGAGAGTGTATGCCCCGGTTAAAATGGTGCTATTAAATATTAATATTTGTGAAAGACTTAGTTTGAGTGTTATAGTGGTCAGGGCTATCAGATTAATAGCATAATTGCATATCAAATCAAAAATATCATTGTTGTTGTCAGGAACAATGTGTGTAAAGTCTGAGTGGGACCCAAACTCAGTGATATTATTTGCATTACTAGTAACATTTATTATTTAGTATTACATTACTAAAGAAAAATCCTGATCACCCCACCATGCCGGATATAGACCATTTCACAGATGTAAACAACACTGGTCCAGAAGCACTTCCTGTTTCAGTTTTTTAATACTACATAAAAGCTGGGATAAAATACAACCAACAGAACATGTAAAACTCAATCAAAAAGTTAAACAATATCTTTAAGATGTTTTCTTTACATGTGAAATAAAGAAAACAGTTACAAACTGAAACAGGAAGTGGTTCTGGACCAGTGTTGTTTACATCTTGCAAAATGGTCTATATTTGTATCTGTGTTTTTGTTTTTCTCATGAAGTGAAATGATTACATTTCTTTTGGACCAAGGTAAATGTATATGAGATATAACTCGTATTAATCTCTCTAAATAGGCTCACATGCAGTCTACTAATAAGTTTAATTTCGGTCTGACTAAAACATCTTTTTAAAAGGTCACTGAACACATTAGTCCGATGTGAGACAATTAAACATTGTGAGTGTATATGTGGACAGACTTGAAGCAGTATTATTACGACTGTTAATTTAACAGGGGTAAATATGGCCTTAGCAAGTGTTAAGCGCAGAGTTAAAATGCCTGTATGGCATGACACTCAATACATAGCTGCCATTTTCTGAGTGATCTGTGTATCGATGGAGGCAGAGCGCTTCATCCTAATGGATGCTTATCATTAGAGAGTGGAAGCGTTTCTGGGCTCCCACCTAGCTCTTTTGATGGAGCACAGACAACAAAGTGGGGAGGGGAGACGGCCAACCAATCTCCCCCACCACAGATGTTAACACAGTGGTATCTGTCTGGACGCGCTGGGCAAACAGTGGCGCGGGCCGCGTCACTTTTCACGGCTGTTATCTCCCATGGCCGCACGCCCTCCTTTCCCATTCCTCATTTCATTAATGTTTGCCTGTTTGTCTCTCCGTGAAAAATCCTGATCACCCCACGCGGCGGACTGGCTAACGCTCCCGCTGGGTTAACTCGCCGACATCAAACACGCTAAGCCTGTCACGACCGCCGCTGCTGTCTCTGGGTTCTATCAATATTGCGTCCAGCACTCCACACTCCAAATTGCTAAATCAGAAGCAACATTAGTGGATGAAAAGGGGGAAAGCGGCTAATGAAGTGTGAAAATGCAAAAAACAAACAGGAGAATGTATGCCAGGACCCCTTCTGTGTGTCATCGCTATGGTCATTTGTTAGCATGGACATTTTTAAATGCATAACCATCTGCATTTGATGTTTTCCTTCATTTCGAATCATTCCCTCATGTCATCATTTCATTTTTGTTCAGTTTCTTTTAATTGTTGTTAAATGCTGTTTTATTCTATTTCCCAAACATTAAATCAGCAGTAAATGTCCACACACACACACACACAATAATATTACCTTGCGTAATGACTTCTTCACCAGAGAGTAATATTTCATTTTGTACAGTAGTTCTGCTTGATAATTCACTAGTAGTTTATAGACTTATTTGCCATCTGTGGAGTAAAGCTACACATAACACACATAAACACAAATCAGTTCATTGTTGTTGATTTGATCATGTTTGGTTTCGTTTTTTCCTGATTTTCCCCGTATGTCATGTTTTTTTGTTGTGTTTTTCCATCTAGATGCCCTTACCACAACCCCTAAACCCACAACCACCACCACCACCACCACCACCATCTCCGCCACAACCTCCCCTCCAGACATCATACAAGGTATGGTATGACCTCCATCCACCTGCTCAACCTGAGTGTGTTTGTGTGTGCGTGTGGATGACAGAGAAAAGGAGAGAGACGGATAGACCGCCAGCAGCTAGCCAGGCCTGATAAGATTCTCTCCCAGATAATGAGAGGACCGTGTCCCATGTGAGACCGGGCCAGGGCTGGGCCGACTCGCAGCTCTGTCGGTGCCACATGTCAGAGCTGGCTCTCTTCACAATTCTCTCAAATTTTAGCCCGGTTCGCTCCTTTAGCGACCTAATCTTATCAGGATCTGGCGCTGTATCCAGGCCTGTCTGGTGCAGGGATTACAGAACCCCCTTTATGTTTCCTGTGGGCTGACAATGGCGGCAGAGTCTTTGTGGCCAAGAGGAACCAGGATCAAGCATGTACATGTTTGGATTTCTCAGCTACCGAGCCAACTACATCCGACTGCACAGGGATAATGATACAGAAATTCTGTTTGTTTTTGTTTTTTTCGTGATTGTTTCATTATATCCAATCGCTGTTCGTTCTACTCTTATTATTATTTAATCTGGTATCCAGTAGTGTATTATCACATTTTTTTTTTTTTTGTTTATCCAAAGCAACTTAAGGAGTTTCTTAGGAACCATGGTGTTGAACCAATTTGATTGTCTCCTAAAAGTCATGTTTTTGGTGTAAAACATGGTACAGGTAGATGTACATTTGTCCCTCATTCTCTAACAATCACAAACTTCTGGGGATAATTGCAGCTACTATTAGTGTTCTAGTCAAGACCACCTAAACCGAGGGCGAGACAAGACAATGGCAGGGCTTGACCAAGACAAGGCCAAGACCAGACCAGCACTCCTTAAATTAATCTAAAACATCCACATTTACTGCCTTAGAAATGTCTTATATTTCATACAGTTAGAAGAATAAGACACTATAAAGAGCTGTAATCAATCGAATGAAATCACTAACAACAAAATTAATCTTTGCACTGTTGTAGAAAGGGGTAGAAACGGCATCTGAATTGGTACAATTACTGCATTGTTTTACAAATAAAATTTTGTTTAATGAACATTTGTACAAAATCAAAAATTATGTTTGCAATTGTGCTCACATTCGTGAGAATAGCTCTCTTGTTCTTGTGATATTGCTTCATTATATCATGTCATAATTTAAAAAAAGATAACATACATGCAATCATATTTCGAATTGTGTGGGCGTTTGTATTTAATTTGACAATCCCTATTTCTGACCCGCCACAACAGCAACAAAAAAAAATAATGTTAGCAATAATTTATTGATTGCTTTGGAAACAGGAGGTTTTACATTCAATTACATTAATGTTCACAAATAAATCAGAAAAGCACTGGAATTTTGGTGAAATCCTGCATTTGTGGTCTTGAGATAAAATCTGAGTACTCTTAGTCTGAGATCGAGACAAGGCCGAGTACAAAGACGGTTGATACATGATGAAACCTTTGAAAAATGTTCTTGAGACCAAAATCGGTCTGTTAAGATTGCATTTTAAGAACTATTCTGTCCACAGTCTTACTTTTTCAGATTCAATTTAGACCCATGTACCTTTTTATGTAACTGACTTAAAAAGTTGAAACCCGGTTTCACCCTCACTTGATTCTATCGGATACTGGTGCGTTTGCATTCGTCTTACATCATCACCAACATGCACGCCGCATGGGATACAACAAAACTCGGGTCAATATATTGTGTTTTTTTATTAATTTTGTTCCATTATGCACAGAACAGTGACGCAAGCACACCTCCGTGTACTGTATGTGCGTAAAATGAACGTAGATGTCTGTTTCTTGCAAACATACTCTCTTGAGGGGACGGCTGATTACGAGCTATTCATTTGCAAGTCAATTTTACTTTTCTCTACTAGTACGTTAATGATATAACTGCTTTAATATTGATTACTTTGTTCTTGAAAGAAGCTTCTTATTCACTGCATTTATTTGCTAAACTGATATACATGTTTATCAATTCATTACAGTATTCAACATTTGAAGTGGATCAAAAAAGTTGTCAAAGTTGTCCTAAGACAAGAATTATTGTTGTATAACTTTGATGAAAGCTTTTGATCCACTTCAAATGTTGACTACTATTTTTGTGTAAACTGTGATTTTTATTTATTTCAGGATTATGAGGATGAATAGAAAGTAAACGTATGAATTGAAAGTAAGAATCCGACGCATTTTAATAAACATTTAACATAACCCCAAACATTTTAATGGTTGGGTACCAAGCAGATGGCTATATGGTAATTTTCAGGCAGTTTGTTTACGTGCTATGATAAAGTGCCCTCTGTTAACCCTAAAGAAATTGGACATAAACTGCAGGAAGCTTGTGCTTCATTTAACAGCATCTAAATAGTTTCTGCTTTGATTCAAAAAAGACAGATGCATCATGACTCGGGGGGACAAATCTATGCATATGGCCCGACCACGGACCACGCTTAGAAAACCGGGCGTACAGCCACGACGTTGTAGCTACAATGAACTTTTTTTTTTGCACCGGGTTCGTCCGAACCTGCTTGTTTTATAATTGAGTAAACTCCGACTGCGGGGTCGGCTCTGTTGCCGAACGATACCAATGCCCCTGCGATACTGACCACCGCAAGCTCATTAGCTACTCTAATCCACTCTACTCAACATAAAAAGCACACAAAAGCTAATACGGCCCCAGATGATGGAAAGCTAAATCAATGTTGCTGCTGGTTTCAATCTCTGAAAGAGAACCTGATGTAATTTGCTGCCTGTAATGATTGTGATATTGAAGCAACCGATTGAGATCGTTTTACTCTGTTTTTCTCCTTCCTCAAGGCAATTCTTTATATTACAGTGAAAACCGTGCAGATTGCTAGAGATGGGGCGCCGCGCTCTGTTGTGTACTCGCGGCCGCCGGTTACGTGAGCAATCAAAATCTTGGACTGACTTGTGCGGATGATTTGAGAGAATCTACAAAGGGCTGAGAAATGAATCGGCCGTGATTAGGCTACATGATTGTGTTTAATGAAAGAAGCGATGACGCATACTAATGAGACACACCCTCTTTCCTCATTAACGAGGTGAATGAATCTCGTTAACATCGCTGCCTGCTGCACACTATGAAATCCTCCAGAGGTCCAACCCGCAGGCATGGCTGTGGATAAACGGCCCTGATAGGGAAAATATTATTCAATTACATTTATATTGCGCTGTTTGTGTGAAACGATTCCAGCACAGCCGCGGCTCCGGATGCGCTTCCCAAATGCCGAGCCGCACAGACCTATAGCTGTGATATATCAGGCTGCGTTTTTATCGCTTTTCCCTTAAAGCATATCCTATTATGCCCATGTACTTCAATAGGAAGAGTGGGTCCTAAGCAGCCACACTGCTCCCTCCTTCTGCCGATTTCATTTATCCTTTGCCTGGATGTGTATAGTTCAGGAACACCACATGAATTTATCAGTCCACTGAGATGGAGGCCACTTAGAAATTTAATACATTTTTGATAAACTATATACAGCTAAAGCTATAAGAGAAATGGAATGAGCTATACTGCACTTTTAAAAAATCTATTAAAGCCCTAACGCAAGGCTAAAGTGCTCCACAGCTTCAGGAGGTGACATTTAGAGATGACTAAATTGCCATTTACACTGAAAAATAAATGGCTAAATGGAGGGGCCTTGCTTGCCACCATACGCAATGGGGACAGATGTCATTAATTTCTATTTGTATTGCCTTTTTTTTCCCTCTGATAAACACAGCTCAGAAATGGATGTTTATCGATATTTCTGAGAGCTCTTTTATTTCCCACAAAGCTTTTGCAAATTTGATCAAAGATGAGGCCCTTCTTCCTCTGCCGCTTTCTCTCTGGCTGACAACACAATCTGTCCTCCATCTCTCTCTTCTCCTCATTTGCTCTATCTCTTTCTGTCCATTTATCTATCTGTGACTTTGAGCCGCAGTGAAAATGGAAGACTGAACGAAGACTCTGAAGGAGTTGTTTAGTCCTCACATGTCCCCCATTTTCCCCCAACTAATGTATTTATTTTTGTAGCCAAACCCCACAGTCTGTAATTCAGAGCTCTGTAATGCCTGGTTCAGATTACACGGATTACACAGGATTGACAGCCCATACTGTCCTCTTCGAGCAATCCAGGAACGTGTCCATTGTCGGGTTTTCTTCCCTTTTTTTACTTTTTTTCTGAACACAGTACAATACAACACTCACCGCTTCATCCATCGTTTGTTTACGTTTGTTTCCGGAAGTCACTCGATACTAGTTTCGCCTTTTTGATGACATCACGCGTGCCATTAAAGACGGCATGCGATGACTGGTTAGGAAACAATGTGTAGTCTGACATGTGTCTTGTCGACGACACAACAAGATTTTAGGAGTCAAAATTGCGTAATCTGACACAGTGACTATCGTAACAGACAAAAAAAAAAATCGTGTAATCTGAGTGAGAGGCTCATAAGAATGAGATCCTCCATTTCTGACCACTCTCTCCCTTACTGTTTTCTTTTATAATCTATCTCTTCCTCTTTTTCTATTTGAGATTGAGGTCAGAAATTGACATCAGCAGTTCTGTTAAAGGGTTAGTTCACCCAAAAATGAAAATTCTGTCAGTATTTACTCACCCTCATGTTGTTTCAACCCCGTAAGACCTTCGTTCATCTTCGGAACACAAATTAAGATATTTAAGATATTAAGATCGCTCCTGCATACAGTCCATAGGCTTCTTGAGGTACTGGCTCTTGCTGTCCCCGAAAAGTCATTAAAGACATCGTTAAAATAGTCCAAGTGACTACAGGGGCTCAATCTTAAGTTTATCAAACGACGAGAACACTTTTGTGCGCAAAAAAACAACAAAAATAACGACTTTATTTCAACTATTCACTTCCTTCTCCATGAGCCTGTAAGTCAGTTAACGTAGTGTGATTGCGTAGAGCTACGTCACACGTAGGCTCACTATTGGCCGACGCTGGTCATGTGTGTGTGATGCGTGTGACGTACAATAA